ACAGGTTGTGGTCCCAAACATGGCAACAGCACTGTGATGACAAGACTTGAACAACTTCGCCCAGCTGTGTTGCTTCCACAAATAAGGTTTAGTTTATTGTTCTCCATGTCATCAGGATTAAGAAAATACTGGCCTCATTGTTATGAAACTTGATGATAGGTTGCATTTTGGGTCATGGAAATTACATTTTTGCGCAGGTATGAATCACGGGTGGATACGTTTATACCGTGGGTATTTGGGCTGCAGTCATGTGTTGTTTAAAGAATCAGAAAAATGAATTCCGTGTGGAAAAAATTGAAGGAAAGCCGCCTCAAGTCGAAAAATCAACGTAAAAAAACTGCCTCTGAGCAAAGCTAGCTGATTCGCGTATTTATGCTAAGCTAGGCTAATTATGTCCTGACATCTCATCTTACAGAACGCATATGAATATATTTGCAGTTAAATATTGAGCTAAGCTAACCATGGCACGACTGTATCCAGCTCTGTACTTAAAGCACAGACATGGCATGCATATCAATCTTCTCATCTAACTCGACTAGGTTTAATATACCTTTTTAAATACATCTTAAAATGTGTATATATACAAAGTCATACTGTACATCATCACACACATTTTGTTAATTTAATCTAGTATATCTTTAAAAGTCATTATTTAGTGTCACAGTGATACACCTCTGTGTGTGTGTAGTTCAGTGATGTGCAGGCAAGCATGTCCTTCCCACACTATTTTTCTTGTGTACAGCTGGCTGCTAAAAATATTTGGCCACAGAAAGTGAGAGTGTCCTGTATAAGGCGTCTGTGTGTGCATGTTTTTTCCAATGTGGAATGTGTGTGTGCTCTGCTTTCTAGGCGCTGGCAGCCATTTTTAGCTCTGCCCCATCTCTCTCAATCATATGAAAAGGATTGCCAGTCTGCACCTCTCTCTGTCTCTGTCACCTCAGCCTGTGCTACACTGAAACATTGACTTTACAGTTATGTGGAATTTGTTGACATGATACATTTAATTAAAGTCATCGTTTCAGTTTTTTCAGTGTACCCCAGCCCCGAGACTCCCCTACTATCTGGGTCTGTCTGGTGCCACGTGACCCCTTTCAACCTCAGTTTCCCAAAATAGTGCTTTTCTTATTGCGCACAATGAACAGCAAGAGAGAAACGACAAACTCGGCTGCTGTGTTTTTGTTTGCTTTTTAAGGAAGGGCCCAGCCACCGGAGGCTAATTGGCTGATACCAGCGTCACTTCCTGGAAGTGGGGTCAAGGCGCAGAGAAGGAGCGCCCTGGTGGAAATAGGGGTGACTGACCGCGGCTTGTTTTTACCAGACGCTGACTGGTAGCCGGACAAAAGAAGTGGAGTAAAGGATCAAGGCCTGTTGCAGTAATTACAAGCCCCCCCACCAACACCAGCTACCCCACCCTGAGGGGCTTGTGGAATCGACAGAAAACAATGACTCAGCCGTAGAACGGACAGAAATTGATTTTCTGCAAGAAGGTTAAATGAGCGGGCATTTCTACCTTACTGAAGAGGTGTTTTTTGTTTTGCCCATTGGCTACTTTAAGTATTTTGTTGTTTGTGCCTTCTTGAGGCAGAAGTCAATATCGAAAGTCTGTGATGGACATACCTCGATGTATCCTAGTTTTTTCCCATTTCAAAGGCTGTCTGGCTGTTAAGATTGGGAAGTCATTGCCTTCAATGATTGTCCGTCTTTGCACCTGTAGTCATTTTACAAAATCACATGCACTGTTGCAACTTTGAAGGTGTGTATGTTTTCAATAGAACTGGGTGCCAAAATTGTCGCCCAATGACATTACGAAAACAACAAATCTCCCGTTCAACGTTCACACACTCATACACACACACACGCACACACACAGCAGACAACACAACCTCTTGTGATGCATTCCTTTGTGACGTCAAACCGCTGCCTCTGGGCTTCGAGTCACAGCACAGGATGTCTGAGAGAGAGAGAGGGACAAAGACATAGACAACAAAGACAGAAAGAGAGAGAAGCGTTCATGTGTTTGGAAAAGACAAAATTAAAAGGAAAAGAGAGACTGACTGGAGAAAATAGATTTTCCAGTCAAATATGCAGGAGAAAAAAAAGGAAATAAGTGCCTGGCCCAGAAAGTCAGAAAGTGACTGCATATAGGGAGTCTTACTTCCCTATAATAAGTCAAATTCTTTGCCGCTTCCCTCCTCCCTGCGTGTGACGGCCGGCCCTGCCATCAGTGAGCATGCTGCCAGCAAAGGGGAAGAGAGGCCCGGCTGCCGATCATACCGAGGCATGTGATTCCGAGTCACACCGCAGCAACCCACATCCTCACAAAACAAAGCCTTCCAATGCTGCGCGGTTGCATAACACTGGCTGGTTACCTAAATGTGTTTTCTTCGTAAGGCTATTACATTTTTTACAGTGTATACTTTTCTCATTTTGGATTCTTTGTGATGCATCTATGTTTAGAGACCCATTCCTTTACATCAGTCATCCATATCTGATTCAGCGATGTCACTGCTGTCAGGTTTGTCACTCCCTATCAATAAAGTTCAATCATTTCTGAAAAAAAAAAAAATTCCGGTTGGTTTAAGGTTTCATAAAGTCCCAGTAAGTGTGGTTTCGGTCAGGTCAAAAGGTGTCTAGACATTAAGATCTATCATTTAAAGGTTGTTTTTTTTAAATATTGGCAGTGGTGGAAAGTATTTAAGTACATTTACTTAAGTACTTTTACTTTACTTTTTTGACATATTTGTTGTTTCCTTGAGTATTTCCATTTAAAGCTACTTAATACTTTTACTCCACTACATTTCAGAGGAAATATAGTAGTTTTTACTCACTACTTAATTTTAATACTCACAGTTACTAGTCACTTTGCACATACAAATACACATGATACACTGATATGGTGTAATTTTGTACTGTACATCTTATCTACACAGTATTTAAGTATATATATATATACAACACTTAAATGCTCGTACATGTATAAAACAGGATAACATAATAACCATAATATAATATTGTGAAAAGATCCATTCTGCATTTAGAATACTTTGATACTTGTAGAGTACACTTAGCTGATAATACTTCTGTACTTTTATTATTCTGAAATGGGTCATTGTGCAGAATACTTCATGTACATTTTGATGCTAATACTTTTGTACTTTTACTGAAGTAACATTTTGAACTCATACTAGACCATAGTATTTGTACTTTTAGGTTAGGGTCCGAGTACTTCTTCCAACATGGAATGTAGTAACACTTGGTCATTGGTTCCACAGCATTTGTTTATCTATATTCAAATGTTTAGTTAGCGTTTTTGAAAATGCAACACATTACAAGACATCCATCACACGTGTTTCAAAGTTGTTTTATCACAGTTTTAACTTGCAAATCACCAGTTGTTGTTAAAGTAATGGAAATGAAAATATTCTCTAACTTGACATTAGCAAGATAAGTGTTTACTGATTTAAAGGTGGGGTAGGTAAGTTTGAGAAACCGGCTCGAGATACACTTTTTGTTATATTCCATGGAATGCTCTTAACATCCCGATAGCAATGAATATCTTAAGTGCTTTGACAAAAAATCCATAAAAACAATGTCATCTGTGGAAGCCGTAGTACTGTAAAAAGTACGACCAATCATTTTAGCCGGCCCGGCTTAAATAACTGGATGGCCTACCTGCCTGTCAGCCTTCCATCTGTGCACAAACTTATCTCGTGCCCTCATTGGTCATGTGCACGTTCGTGTGTGTTGGAGGAGGGGCTCTGTAAGGAAGTGGCAGATTTTCTCCGGTTGTGTATTTTCAAATTCTAGCGATCTCGAGCTGGTTTCTCAAACTTACCTACCCCACCTTTAATATTGTTTTAACTTGAATCGATTTCCCAGCATTGCAAGTTATTAAACTTTATGGACATAATATTCTCTCCCAAAAAATGATTTGTCATTGTCTCTGCATGAAATCATTTTTGCTCCGTCATGATAATTGACTTTTGGCTTTTTTGTGAACTTGTAGTAACACTGCTCCTTCTCTGTATTCTTAGAAATCCTAACAATACAGGTTTTAACAATAACAGCTGTTGATCATACTGGCAGTATTTGTCTTTTTCTTCCTGGCATCATGCTGGCGCTTTTGGAGTTTGGTTTTAGGAAGAGTTTCAGAAGGAGCATGACCCTCCAGTTTCTCTGTCACAATAATGAATGCAAATCTCTGCAGAAAAAACGTCTTACCTTGAATGAGAATTTGCAACATGTACTGACTGTTCATAAAACTCAGATGTACAGTAACACTGAAAACCTACGTCCTCACTGGTCCATTTATTCGCAACCACTCATAGTGTGTTCACCTTTTTTAATAACAGTGGTTGCTTTTCTTATGTTCTTTATTTGAAAAGCATTATTGTTTGGCCCAAGGGAAGTCATTTGGGAGGCGGTTAAACACTTGTCATTATGACACATTCATATTGTCTTTCTTTGGTGCTTTCTGTCTTGTGTTGCATGAGGGTATTACTCTTCACAGTTTACAGTCTTTTCTTGGTGCAAATTGTAGTTCTCTGCTCTGAAAATATGAAAATCTGTGGGGCAACTTGTTTTGAAAAGCAATTACTGGTCGTTTCTTGTGATTCCCATTATTTTCCTCCCACATTTTATTGCAAAAACAGTCCTTTTTTAATCCCGGGGTGAATGTCATAATGTCTTCCATATTCCTGTAGCTGCTTCACAACAACAGCCTTGAGTGGTTCTATGTGTGGAAAGTCATATTTCTTAGCCAGGGACACAAGGGACAGTGTTGTATTTATGTTGTTTTGTCAAATGCAAGTGAACTCCTTTCAAATGCTACACCCTTCCAAGGTTTCTAATTTGTCTTGCCAGTAGTAATCCTGCTGACGGAAAACAAATAGACAAACAAACCCATCTTAAAGCATGACCTCCTGGGAGCGTTTTTAAGTCCAGTGATACAGTACATTTCGTTGCATTTCAACATATCCTGTCTTTCTCTTCTTCTGCAGTCCTCCTGTCTCAGCCCATAGAGAATGAATGTATGGAGGGTTTGACGCTGAAGATCACGGACTTCGGCCTGGCCAGAGAGTGGCACAAGACCACCAAGATGAGCACCGCCGGCACCTACGCCTGGATGGCCCCCGAGGTCATCAAGTCCTCCACCTTCTCCAAGGGCAGCGACGTTTGGAGGTGAGTGCACACAACCATTTTCAAGCTCGTTCCAGGGTTTTATTGTAAGGCGGATATTAAGAGGTATTTTACCAATCACAGCACCTTATAGGAACTTTTCCACACTTTGGGAAATATGCTTTATTGCTGAGAAGATCAATACCATGCTGATGTCTGTATGCTAAAGCTAGGACTAAGCAATTAGGTGTATTTCACAAAAGTGACACAAATGGTGTTTTTTGTTAGAAAATAACATGTTTAATTTCCCCAAATCAAGGATAAACTTAAAACTTTTTTTTCTTTTATTACATTTGTATTTTTATGCAGAACTAAAGTCATATTTACTGCTTCGCTTGAAGGACATGTTGTGAGTGGAATAAATAAACCTGAATATTATATATATAACGCATGTTTGATCGCGAGCCAATGAATACGGCGGCGTGTCTAATGATCTTAGTTTAAACGCACCAATCTGTGATACAAGTCTCCAGCTGACTAATATAAGTGTTTCTATGGTGACAGAGACGTCTCTGATTGTGAGGGATTTACAAAGTAGGTCGTGCAGGATTTCACAAGGACGTTTGGCATAAAACACTTTGATAATGCAACTGAAAGGAAAGGGTGGTTGCTGGTGCCGTGTATTCTGATACTTTGAACACACCAACCAATAAAAGAAAGAACTAATGCTCTGCTCAATCCCTCAAGGGCTATAAAGTAATCAATGCTGCAACACTATTGGATTTCAGCAACAGGCCAATATTTACACCAATCACTATTATATTGCCATTTATTTCCTACTGTAGTTCAATCTGTGGATTCTCTCTATGATATCTTCACATTCTCATCCCTTCCTCTGTTGTGCCCTTGCTCTCTTAAGTTAGCTTAGGCTAAGTGAGCTCTTAGCCCCGGGGCTAAGAAAGCTTTCACTCTGCCACAATCCTGACACATTCCAAAGTGGCTAACCCGGACTTTAGCCGGGGGCTTGCTGGCACTGCTTTTTGGGGTTTTCCCCTGAAAATCAACTGTTCACTAAGCTAGGCTAGGAACCCTGGACGTGTTAGGAATAACTGAATACCAACTTCAAAGATGGCACCCCATTCATTCCTATTAAAGTTACACCCTGGGCTCTGGCACTTAAAGAGGCCCTTTTATACTTTTTGGGGTTTTCCCTTTGCTGTAGTGTGTTATGTAGGTTGTTGTCCCCCCCCCCCCCCCCCCTTGCCTGAAACGCCTCCATTGGACATCACTATGTAACACTCGCTCTTCTCTTGGCTTGCGCTCCAACTCATTGTACTTGATAGGCTAAGGGGCGGGACATCACTAAGTGTTTAACCAACCACAACAGAGCTGGCCAGCTAAAAAAAACATATTTTTGAATAGTGCTATCTTTAACGGAGCGACCGCGTTCGCTGCATTTTGCCAAGTAGCCGACCTTTTGAGGGTAAGACATGTCCAGCATTCCATACTCAACTCTTTGACCGTTATGCACGCACATTCCAGGTACTCACGGTACTCTGCATTTTGTCATACTTCTCAGTGTAAATGCACTTAAGCACTCAAAATAGCAAGTGTAAGTATATAATCATAAATGTAATAATACAAATCAGCATAATAAAAAAACAATACAGCCTTTTGGTGTGATGTTTATGACCAAGCCTACACCAAGAGCAATTACAGACAATTAAAATGTCTTTATATTCATGTAAACAGTAATCTGTAGTAATTATCTGCAACAACTCAGCAGGAAAGTGGTCTGTGGATAGAAAACACGATAGAAACAGAGGGAAAGGGTGAAAGTGCAGGGAGGCGAGGGTGGGAGACGCGAGTGATGACGAGGATGATGGATGGCAGCAAGACCGCCGCACTCATGTGACGGCGTGCCGTCAAAGAGCTGCTCTGTGCTTTGTTGTGGGACATCTGTACAGCACACTGTCCCATTGTCTCCAGTATAGACAGAGAAGGAGGCCACACACCAGACCTAACCACAGCCTTTTATATGGGAATAGCTCTGTGTGTGTGTGCATATATCTGTGTGTGTGTGAAAAAAGAGTCCCTCGATTATGGTTTGTGGTTTTATAATAACGCCTTAATAACTGGCTTGAGAGGGGATTCATGAGGGCTTTTAAGTGCCATGGTTAAATTAGCATAAGGGAAAAGACAAATGATTTCCTAAAGCAATAATACACATGAATGGCTTTGCTGCATTGTGGTTACAGCACTTACTCACATATGCTATGGTTTAATTTTAATCCATTGGATTTGGACCTTTTAATCCACTCCTAAATGGTTCCTTGCAGCCCAACACAGAGCCTACGTGAAGCCAATTGAACATGCTGCTACAGAGAACCTTTTAGAAAGCGTCTTTGAGGACATCACAAATGGTGGAAGCCACTTAAGAAATTTTCTGGAACTTAAACGCACCCTATTTAGTGTACAAAAGTGTACAGTTTCTCCTCAGTGTCCCACACACATCCTCTGAGTTTCCATGTCCACGTCTCTGAACAACAATCCCACATAAATTCATTTTCACAGCTATCACAGCACAATCTGGAAAACAGCTAAATGCGCAAGAGCTCTGAAACTGAAGGGTGATCTTTGTTCTACTGTTCTTTCTCTTTTGTCCACGGCCGCTCGTCTCCAAAGCCGCCACGCGGAGACAGCGGTCGCCTCGGGGACGTTGAGCAGCGTTTTTCTGCCCAGTGTGTGGAAGTTGTAATTAAAGAACTAAATAAAAAAAGGCTGCGGCCTGCACTCTGCACTTAGCCAGCCTCCACAGCGCTCAGTGGAGTCCGGGGGGGGGGAGGGTAATTGACAGTGTGGGAGATCCAAGTCCACGCTTCATCTTCTGAGGACACAGAGCTGCTCCCATTGTGTGGCTTCAAAGTCCTGTCTGTGTGTGCATTTGTTCGACTTTTGTATGCATGAGTTTACAAGCACATGTTTCACAAAGCAAAAATATTTCACTTTAAAGAATGTCTTTGTTCTGTACTGCCACCACTATGATAATGAATTGGTAAGGTATTATGTGCCGAACAAAGCAAACAAAATGTCCATACATAGAAGTAACCCAGGGTGCAATGAGCAATTATCAGTATTTACATTTTCATTTTGGATAAACACATTTTAGACTTTCCATTTGTATCAATTATTGTATGGATGTTTGTAGGCATGAAAGGTTTCTTATCAGATTTGGCACAATAGATTTATTTTGTTCAAAAAATAAAACAATATACAAATATGTATTTTGACTGGATTGGTTCAGTTTTAATTGACATGTAGATAGCCAATTACATATCTAGAAGTGTTCACTGTTGAACATAATGGCTTGCTGTCATGTAACTTTGACTTTTTTGTCCCTTTAGTCCTTTACTGGGGACATTTTAGTCAATATGCACATATCCAAATTAAACACTTCAAACAGGCTTAATGGTATCATTTGTAACATTTTTGCATTAAAAAGTCAAAAAGAGGCTTAACCTATGCTTTATATTTTGAGTTCAGTATTTACATTATCAATTATTTTAAAACAATGTATCTTTCTGTTTAATTTCGTCGCTTATTGCGGCAACGTATATGCGTTGGGGTTGTCTGCCACAAGCTGTCTTAAATTAAATTTGAACCAGTTTTACGGCACATTTTTAAGATTCACTTTTCTGATCGATTTTCCTTTCAAACTGCATTGAAGAAACATTGACCTTTGACCTGAAACTGGCTTCATCAAGTATTTTTAATATTGTGCATTTTTAAGCTGCACATTTTTTTAAGGGGTCCCTGCAATCGTGTCAGACTTCTACAAACAAAAACAAAAACACAATAATATGAAAGATGCTATAACCATATACAATCTTTACTCAACATTGTTTAAAGAGGACATGTCCTGCTCATTTTCAGGTTCATATCAGTATCTAGTGTCTCTACTGTGACATGTCTCCATGATCTAATGTTCAAAAAGCTCTTTATTGTTCTCATACTGCCTGTGCTGCAGCACCTCTTCTCACCCTCTGTCTGAAACCAGAGTGTGTGGGAGAGAAACTCCCTCTAATAGAATAGAGATAGATAGAATCGGAGGGATGAAACCCTCTTTAATGGTCACACATGCAGAGCACACAGTGAAATGTGTTGCACATGCACAAAACCTATTTAACACACTACAGGGAAGGGACCTGCTTCACAGTCAAAGCCATTGTCTATCTGTTTGCTGGAAGACTTTCACTGTGAAGCATCTGGGTTTGCATTAACAGCTTATGGATATGTAAACGGTCTCAAATGGCAGAAGTCTAAAAAGTCAAATGAAAGAACATACTGTGGTGGTCTAATTTCACCATATATAACACTACTAAAAGTGCTGATGCATGTGTATAATGCGTGTTCCGGGATCTATGCTGTGTCTAATCCTGTCCTGATGTCCTGTCTCATGCCTGTGTGTTTCCCCCCCAGCTATGGTGTTCTGCTGTGGGAGCTGCTCACAGGAGAGGCCCCCTACAAAGGGATTGATGGATTGGCCGTCGCCTACGGAGTGGCAGTCAACAAGCTGACCCTGCCTATCCCTTCCACGTGCCCCGAACCCTTCGCTCAGCTCATGTCAGGTGGGACACGTGTTTGGAAACATAATTTAACTCATTGCTCTGTTTATGCAACGACTTCCAGCTCAGTGGTGTGACAAGACAGTACTCTTGCGTAAGATCAAACCGGAGTCTCCTCTTTCCATTTCCTCAAAGCAGGGTTGAAATTGAGAAAACAAATTCCTGTATGTTGTTAATAACGTGGCTGAGATGAGGAAGTGTTTTTGTGTGCCCACGCCACCTTGTGCAACTTACCAATGACTTTGTTGGAGTTAAAAGAAATGTCACCAGGGCGCTGTGGAACATGCTAGCAGGCTGTTATCTGCTCCTGCCAAAACACAGACACAGTACGCTCACATTCTCTCCGCTTATCCCCGTCTCTTGATGTCTGCTTGTCTTTTACGATTGTATTAGAAAAAAAAGAGATCAGTGCACAAAGACACCGATAGCCACCTCGGAGGATTAATTAATTATTGGATTGGTTTTTGATCTGCTTGTATTGCAGCAAATTATGCAAAACCCCCCACAGCATGCTAATTAAGGATCACACTTTGAATAAATGATCAGCTTGACTCTAGATTATGCTAACAGAAGTGCTGGAATATGTGTAAATATAAATGAGAGGCATCGCAGGATACTCTTTGGACATGAATGCAGGAAAACACTTCTAAGTAAGTCATTTGACCGGATTGGAAGTCTTATAATGGTGACGAACAAAAAGGGTGATACAGTTTGCCTATTTTTAAACACAAATTCAGTTTTTCTAAGGAATATGGTGATCAGTGACCTACTTCCTCTTGATTCAAGAAAACGCTAGGAAGAAGTGAAACTGCTGGAAACAAGTCAATTGGGTCTACTTTAACGACAATGTTTTCCACTTTGTTTTAAGGAAACGACTCGGTACCAAACAAAATAACAATTTTCCACATGATCCTCAACATCAATTTGATCTGCTTAGGTCCACCACTTTCAATGTTGTATCGGTCCAAGGACAGCCATTCATAAGAGAGTGCGTTGGTGTAGTAATAACCAGTAATGGAAAGTAACTAAGTACTCATGTGTTGTACTTAAGTGTGAAAATGTGGTACTTTACTTGCATATTGAATCTTTCTTCCTCTTCATACTTCTACTCGACTACAGGTCAAATCGGAACATCGTCCATTTTTACTTTAATGTTAAAGCTTTATTTACTTACAAATTAAGATTTTTGGACAAAAATAGTGTTTAAAATTATGATATTTCGTTATAAGCCAACATTTCTTTTCTCCAACTTTAGAGATTAGGAGAAAAAAATAGACCTTTTTATAAACATTTAAGTAATTTCTCAATTTATTTGAGTTTTTGGACGTTTTTGTAAATGTATTAAAAAGAAATTGTGCCTTGGGTACATTTATGTATTATACTTTAACTACATTTTGACTTTATTCCTTTAGCTAGAGTATGTTTGGTGTGGTATCAGTGCAGGCTCTGAATACTACTTGTCCCACCACTGGAGATATCTGACCCGCTGTCTGCTGTTTGTGTTACAGAGTGCTGGGACCAGGACCCCCACCGCAGACCCAGCTTCAGCTCCATCCTGTCCCAGCTGCTGGCCCTGGAACAGCAGGTGAAGGAAGAGATGCCGCAGGAATCCTTCCACTCCCTGCAGGAGGACTGGAAACTGGAGATCCAGGACATGTTCGATGAACTCCGGGCTAAAGAGAAGGTAAAAGGGCGCTCAGTGCAGGAGTCAGTAACCCTTTGTGTTCCCTTTGTATTTTCTTTATCAATCCATACATTTACATATCCTAGATTCTCATATGTGGTTGATTTTATTTAGTGCATTTCAGACAAATTGTAACTCCATTACAATATTTCATAGTTGTTTATTTAAAAAATGTTCTCTATTAAGTTTACACAGCAATTACACTGATCTTGTATCCATCAGAGCCGAGATAAATACATAGAAACCTGATTGTCTTCCATGTACATCCCTGCAAGAAAACAAATAAACGTACTTAAGATAAAGTCATATAATTAAACAGCCAGACTTTGGTGTCATGTGGGAATACAGTCTTTAAAGAAGACGTTTCATGCTCATATTCAGAAACTTATATTAGTTTGTAACAGAACATGTTTGCATGCTTCCATGTTAAAAAACGTCTTGTCACACCGTCAGTTGGAATATTCCTTTCTTTACCCTCTTTCTCAAATGCTCCGTTTTAGTGCATTTCTCTTAAGACAGAAAAAGTATGCGCTGATTGGCTTGACAAAGGAACTACAAAGGAACTTCTGGCGTGTTGAGTCCCATGTTTTCTGACAGGGCAGCCAACAAACTGACTGGGTTGTCGTATTTCACACGTTGTGGCTTAGTAGGCTCTCCATATGTATGTTCACAAGCACTCTCTTTTTGAGAGGAAAACCATATATTGCAACCACTTCTGTGGTGCCTTAAGGTCAAACACATGTTATCAGATGAACGCAAGATAAAAAATTGCCTACTCAGCTAGCCAATAATGCTCATTAAACGTTTAATTCAAACAATCTTCGGCAGCTCTTTTCGAACCAGGTTGAGATGAGACTGTAAACCAGACACATGATAGGGACCTGCTCTTATTAAACTCCTCTTTCATCCACTTGTCCTTCCTCGTCCATCAGGAGCTGCGAAGCCGCGAGGAGGAGCTGAAGCGAGCGGCTGTGGAGCAGAAGTCCCAGGAAGAGTTCCTGCGGCTGAGGGAGCAGGAGCTGGCCCAGTGGGAGCAGGACGTGTTCGAGCGCGAGCTCAGCCTCCTCATCCTCCACCTGAACCAGAACCAGAACCAGGAGAAACCCAACGTGAAGAAGAGGAAGGGCACCTTTAAGAAGCACAAGCTCAAGTGCAAGAATGGCGAGAAAATCAGCCAGCCTCAAGGTGTGTTTATGTGTTCTGTCTTTGAGTCGTTCTGTCACAAATCAACAACTAGCCAGATTGTGTCAGGCAACGATCTTGACGAGAAATCCCATTTCAAGGGCCATTAGTGGCTCAGTCTCTAGAAGCAACGATAACAACAACAGGCAAACAAAAAAATACAGAGCAGAGAGGTGGAAGTGAGGCAGAGAGTTTGTGGTACAACTGTCATTTTGTGGCTCAGCTTTGCTTTGCTGTCCTATCAGGAATCATGTACGTTTAAAGACGATATTTAGAAAAGCAGGCTGCCGGTATTTTCTGCTGTTGTACCAAACATTTGAAATGGTTTGTCCTTTATTTCCATCACAATGTCAAACTCTTTCAAATGTTTCCATACCCTGAAACAACATTCACACAGACGTGACTACAGCAGATATTTAAACTGTCCAACACACTGCAGCATCCTCTACTATCACAAAGTCACATAGTTCACATCCAGTGTGTTTCAATGCGTGTGTGAGTGTATTTTAGGCTGAGCAAGCATGCGTAAATCCACTGTGTGTGTGTTTGTGAGTGTGTGTGTTGTGCTTAGGCCTTTCCCAGCAGCAGCAGGGCGGTGATGTGGTGGTGTTGGGGGGGGGTTGATGAGAGGGGAGAGTGAGCCAACCACGCCTTGTTACTTCCTGTCTATGGATACACTGCTGGCTGGCCTCCCTTCACTTTCTCACTCTTGCTCCATGCCTCTCTCTCTCTCGCCGTCTTTCTTTTTAGGTATCCCTGCCTCACCCTTTTTTCTCTCACTCCTCTCCCCTCTAGCTCCCCTTTTATTCTCTCCCTAGCCATATCTCCCTGACTATCTTTTTCCCTTTCCTCTTTCCAACATTATTATTAATACCTTCATCCTGTGTTGTTCTTGCAATCTGTACGCTGTGGAATAACTCCTATATGCCTAATCCTGTAGATACAAATAAAAACATTCTTAAAAGGTTCTTATTAAGGATTTAATGGTATTTGTCACATCCAAACTCAAGTGTATACTCAAGGCTGTGCTAAAAGCTTAATACAGGCTTTGCATATGCATCACAAATTTGGCTCTGTCATGCTTGTATAGCGGCTAAATATATAAAGATACAAATAGCCTGGTGATAGGGAGATAGATGTGCAGTGGTATGACTGAAAATCAATTTGCACTCCAAGTAAAACTGTAAAATAAATGGCTCTTAATCTTCAGCCCTAGGTTCTACATAGCTTAAGTCAGCTCAATAAACCAGAGATCAAATGTTAGCTTATTTTGCTAGCTAGCTAACAAGCTAGTTTAGCAACACTGTTCAACTTTGTAAACAAGACCCTACTCACCCTAACACTAATGCTAGTTGCTAATGCTATCAGTAAATTAACAAATTACACTTATTTACTACCTTTAGTTACTGAAATGCTACCCTAGAATTTATAACTAGTGAATTTGAGTCATGATGTCAAGATACGTTTATTAGTTGATTAACTGTTATTAGTGGTATCTCCTTCTTTACATCCGTCAGTGTCAGTCACGCTCTCACAAATAAAATTGAGCAGTCTAATATCCTTTAAAAGTGAGCAAATATATAACTTAAAGGCACAAACCCTTGATTAAAATTGAACGGAATTAAGAAATCCACATGTACGAATTACAGATTTAGGAGGGGAAATTGATATATTGAGGGCGCATTCATTTGAGGTAATTTTCAGAATGAATTTCTAAATCTATTACAATTAAAATGTCCCTCTTGATACTCATCAGGCTCCTTTTTAACAGTATTGCCTTCTTCTCTCATCAGCAAATAAGTACTTCCTGCTGCTGCTGCTACAATAGTTACTTCTACTAGCTAATTGCTATGGAGCTATGGGGCGAAGATCTTTCTCAAATAACTCTACAAGTTAATTAAATAAAAAGTCAATTTAGGGCAGAAATAAAAATGTTTAGGGATTTATTATTCATTTAAATAAAGTGACCCTCCTGACACTTACTGAGCTCTGCAGATTTGTAGCAGTGTTAGCTAGCAAGTAGCAGCAGTAGCATGCTGTTAGCCACAGCTAGTAGTTACTTGCTATGTTTGAGATGAAATGGCCAGCAGGCAAATGAGCCATGTAATATAAGGCTATTGAAATCTGCTTACTCGGCACACTTTGACATAAAGAAACATTGTGTGCCAAGCTTAGAATATGTATTGCACTGAATTTCCAGTTCCATGGTAGTCAGTACGGACTATTTTGGACAAAAAAGGAACCGAAAAAAAGTGCTGAATGTACAAATGTTAAGCAGAGCGATGAAGACTAAACAAATGTATGTATTTAGGTGGTCTAACATTTTTGTTTGTGTTGCAGATTTCATCCATAAGATCACGGTGCAGGCTTCCCCAGGCCTGGAGAAGAGGCGTAACTCTCCTGATATGGGTTCAGGCTCCTCACCCTCCTTTCGCCGTTTCCGTGCAATCCAACGTGAGTGAAGTCATTTTTGCCTTGGATGAACACGCAGGTGGATGTGTGTGTGTGCGCTCTGAGAGATTCTGAAGAGCAAAGAATGAAGGATCCTTTGTCTTCTTGCGTGTACTCACAGTATCTGTTGCAGCATTACTCCTCACAGTTTCCAAATTCCCCCCCTTTCATGTGCTCTCAACCACCCACTCATCTTTTTTATCTTCCCATGCTCCCCCCCCCCCCCCCCCCCTGCTTTACTGCTCTCTCACACACACAGCCTTTTTCCTTTTCAACAGTCTCTTCCAGTCCAAATATTATCTGACTTCCTCTCAGCAGCTTTTTTCCACTGCAGCCCCGCTCTGCTCCCCCTGCCTGCAGTTCGCTCAGTGCTGCAGCGGGGGGAGCCATTGAGCTGTATTTTCCAGGCAAAAAGGGTGCACAGTTTTATATGCATGTCGTGGCTACAGTGCGGTTTACTGAATTAAAAATAAGCAAGGAGGAATTCACTGCTCTAGGAGAAGGGGTTGAGGAGGGTTGGAGGCAGAGATTTACGGAACTCTTATGCTTGTCGGGCTCCTAGACAAACGCCCCGGGATCATTTCCCTTCGGAGGGAATTTGTAGCCAGTAGGTCGAAGGCCGTCTTAACAAAACCCAAAAGGACATTTGTGGTAAAGCAACAGGCAGTGAAAGGGAGTTTTTTCCCCCCCAAACAATTACCAGTGGGTGTTTACAAAAAAGCACAAATTGCAGTGAAACATTTATGTGTAAAAGTGGTTAGTAAATCTGCAACATCTGCCAGCTTCATTTACTCTTCAAATAGAAGGCTGGTTTCCTTTGCTTCCTAATGACTTTCCTTAATGGCTATCACTAAGGCATGAGTGTGTCTGTCATTAAAATGTGTTTAGTGGGTATTTATGCTTGCCCTCTCAGTAGTAAGCAGTGATTTATTGCTGGGGCTCTGCAAACTTATTTGTCTAGATAGCTGCCAAATTGATTTGTATTACTCCACAGAGTCTATTCAACAGGATTTGTGTTATGTTAATACAAATGAGTATAGGAGAGCACTCTTGGAAATTACCTCTCTCTTTGTGCCTTTTTTAGATAACAAGTCAAATTAAACTTTCCAATTTTCTTTAGGGACTTTTTAAACTCTGGGAACAATTAGCACTTTTAGCATGCAGTAAGATGTCTGTGTCATTTGCTTAAACACATTGAAAAACTTAATTAAAATAGAAATTCATAACCATTACAACTTGATTCAGGTGGACATTATGAGAAAAATAGTGCTTTTAAACAATAAAGCTTGTAAACATGATTTTATAAAAGCCCAAATAGCATACTATTTGGGCTTTTATAAAATCATGTTTACAAGCAGAGGATAAAATGGTGAAGTCTAAAAAAAGAAATGTTGTGAATAGAAAGTATCCCATCAACACATGATGACATTAAAAGTGACACGTTGCATAAATTGTGTTTTAAAAGAGGAACACTCTGTGAAAGGGGAGTGTTTGCAAGCCACGGTCCGATCGGGATGAAATTGCATTGCTGCCACTATCACCTGACCTCTGTGATTGCTTTGAAAACATTTGATTGGAGAGTGATGGGAGGCAAAGTGCAGCCAGGCCTGCCGTGTAGCAAGGGCCAAGGGAAATAATACAACATATCCATTCAGAGAGAATATTTACTTTTTCCCATTTCTGAAATGAAGCCAGATGAATGAGGGAATATGCAGCACCGTAGCTTAGTGAAATAAAAGGGAAGTTGAAATGGTTCTCCTTGAGACTAACATGTCAGGTGTTACTGTTGAGAATGCTGCATAAGGTTTTCAGAAGGGTGCGATGGAGTCTGTATATTGGGAGGTGTTGTGGCAGGAAGCCTAGTGTCTCCATGCTGGGTGTGAATAAACGTTCACACAACATTCACACACTTTGTGAGAGCAGCATAGACCAGCTTGTGAGACACTTGTGAGTAGTGAGCGGCGTGGACACGGAGCCTGTGCAAAGTGTGTGAACGCCATGTGAAATCTCAACTTTATATTAGCAATCTGCACCTCTTCTGGTTTGGCTCATCTCACACGATCTGCTCTGCGAACCACTTCGAGGTTACCATCTATATCCATCCATCTATAAGATAGGTCATCTCAACACTAGGTTAGAGTTACAGGGGCCCTTTATTTCTCTCATACTGCCTGTGCTGCAGCACCTCTTTTCACCCTCTGTCTGAAACCAGAGCCCCGTCTGCTCTGATTGGTTAGCTGGCCGGCTCTGTTGGGAGTGCTCGCCAATAGAGGCGTGAGTGTTTTGTAGTGATGTCACTATGTTACGAAGTAAACGAAGGAGTCCAATGGAGGCGTTTCTGGCAGGGAGGGGGAGTGTTCGGGAGAGGGAGCTTTTAGACTTTACAGACTATTTACATGTATGTACCTGTGTTGTGTAACACACTGCAAAGAAAGGAAAAAGCATAATAGGGACTTTTTAATCGAAACTTAAGCTGTGCAGAAATATGCGCAGAAAAAATGCATTGTCATGACTTGAGTTCCAGCTGCAGCAGTAGTCAATTAAAGGTCATTGTGTTGGAAATGATTTCAGGGTTGCCGTCGATTTATTGGCGTAAACTGTCTTTTAAAAAATGCACACCTCATTAAGATGCAGCTAAGCAGGATGCATACTGATGACTTTCCAACGTATATCATTTCTTTTTGTCCTCTTTCCCCTGCAGTCAGTCCCAGTGACAACAACAGGACGTTTGGTTTGAGCCCAGTCTTTCCCATAGAGGCCCCTTCTCATAAACAAGCCAATGGGGACCTGAGGGCTGGCCCTCACTGGAGGCCCCAGAGCCCCAAAAGCCCCAAAAGCCCCAAAGTCCTGCGCCTCAGTCCCCAGGAAAGCAGGTACAGCCTTTTCTTTGATATGTCAACCTTTTAAAAGGTGGGATTTAACTCTACTGCATTAATAATCATGATTAAATCCTTTTTTCATTTCTTCCAGTCTGTCTATGAGGGCCAAGCTACTGGAGTCAGACAGCAACGAGGGGGGTGAATCCAAGGATGACTTTGAGGAGTACAGACCCTCCGAGCCCACAGCTCAGAACGGTATCTAACGGCCTCCCATCAGCAGCTAACCGCCAGCCGCATATCTTCCATTAGCCACTGTTACAATTCACGCTGCCATGACTATGAATTATGCATAAAAGCGAAATGAATTATAAATGGCTCGTCTCTTTTTCCGTCTTTCTAAAACATTTCCTCTCTTTGCAGGCGCCTCAGTGAAGGACAGCCTGCGGCTCCCTATACCTCAGCGAGACTCGGTCAGCGAGGAGCGGGGGTCCTCCCCGGCTGGCTCCCCCAGGCCTGAGAGGAGGGGCCTCATTAAGGGCACCCACCGGGCCATACTGGGCTACGGCTCCCTCGTGGCCTCTATAGGACTCGGCCGCTGCCTGGATATTCCCCCAAGGGTGCCACCTCGAACTAACCTCCCTTCCCTAGAGAACCACACCCCCTCCGAACCAGAGATCTCCCTGCCCATGCCCCTCATTTCAGACCCCCCAGTGGTGGACGATCTCATTACCTTTTCCACCTCGGAGCAGCTCCCCAGGCCACTCTTAGATTTAGCGATGCAGTACCAGGAACTGAAGCCCTTGCCCCTGACGCCGCCTCCGCCAAACCCCCGTGAGAGGAGCGGCCGCCGGACGCCGCAGATGCCGCACAGCCCTCAGAGCCCCCGGACCCCCATTCGGCACAGCAAGGCCAGCCCAGGGGAATGGACCCCAATTTCCCAGTCAACTAATGGGGGGGTGGGCTGTGAGTCCTGCGAGCACAGAGCGGAGCGGAGGAGGAGGTCCAGCCACGGCCTGCACGCCTCCCAGCTAGGTCAGTGGGACTCTTCTACCCTTAAGGGGCACTACATCCAATAATACAAGTCAATGTTAGCTAACTAGTGACTTGGAGGACTCACACATTTGAAAAAGAAAGCCCGTGTTACTAACTGGGGTTGTGAGATGTCAAAAAATTACACAATTTACAAAATACACATCCTGTAACAGTTCTGAGATATAGCAGCCAGGTATATATTGCACAGTTGCATTGTGGGAAGTGAAGGAAGCCCAGTAACTTGGCAGCATGACTCATACTAAAGGCTAAAAGTCAAATGTCTGCTGCTTGATTTTGAATGTTCTTTTTATAAATTATTTGTTTCTTCCTCAACTTTATGAAAGTGCTACACTAAATCACTGGAGTGCTCCTTTTAAAATTAGTCTCCTCTCCAAATCGAATCCATGATTTGTTTTTTAATTTATCTGCGTGATTCATCTGCATTTCCTTGAGAGCATATTTTAAGGAGGCCTCGCACTGAAATTGGATCCAACCTTGAAAAATGTACCTTTTCAGCATGACAATGTTCCTTCACAGCTTCTTCCAGAATTGTTATTGTCACTTTTCTAAAGAAAGATCTGTCTGGCACAAGGGAGGCTTTAATGCTGCACAAGCTTTTTTCATTTACATCAAAGCTCGTCTTCTGCTATTTGCATATCGCAGGTAACAGCTGGCCCCTTCCATACTCACTGCTAATACCAATCAAATCCAATCGTCTGTTGTTTTTTTCCTCTTTCAAGTCAGAGTTTTCTTTTAAAGCAAAGTTGAACATTAATGCAAAAACATCCAGGTGCACAGCCAAAGTCGCGTTAATGGTCACTTCCTGTTATAGTTTGGCTGGGTGCATGTCGGGTGTATTTACGCTCCAGTTCAAGCACTTCTTCCTTTTGAGCCATGCCAACTGTATGCCTATATAACAAGTGTAAAGAATTCAAACATGCTAAAGATCACATTCAAGAGGGATTAGCGTCCTTATAATTACATGAGAGTGGAGTGTTCTCATGAGGCATGTTTTATACTTTTGTTCAAATTCAGGGATGATGTGCATATCAGCAACACTTGAATCCAATGTACAGTACATTCACTTGTATTTAACCAGAGATAATGTGCATTTCTGAGAAGCTCCGACACAGTTTAGAGCCGTAATGATGACGGAGGCGTGGGTATAGGTTGTTTTTAAGAGCGAGTGGGCTTTACCGGGGCTTTAAGAGTGCCCTCTGGTAACATTTCACACTCTATATCTGCTCCATTTGACTCACAAAGCTTGGATTCTCCACACAGAGGCTCTTACAGCGCTGCCCCCAGATACTGAGCAGACATGCCTCGCCTGTTCCTTCTGCTAACAACCGTAATCTCACAAACCGCATGCACTCATTACATTGGGGCGCACAGAGGCAAAAAGCCACACGTAATTAAGCAGCGAGTGTTTTAGCTAAACATCTTATGTTTATTGCCTTCAATGACTCAGATGCATAGACAGACTGCCACGAGGTTGCCGGCGGTAAATGCTTGCTTGAAAGAGAGAGATGAATGCAGAGGAATCCTTCACTGCCGGTTGCTCTCATGTGACTCCTGAATGCTCTTTTTCGTTTGGTGTCAGCTGAATAGCCGAGCAGCCTCTGAGAGTTGCTGTTGATGTAAATAACGCCATTTGGCAGACGCTTCACATTTGGAAATAGCAAATGTTCATTCAGGCTGATTTATTCAGAGTTTAATGTTCTTGTCAGTGCTAATTTACACTTGCTGTTGCAGCTCTGTCAACTTGTTACGCGGCCCTATGTTGAAATTAATTTAGAGTAATTACATCCACATTTTTTGCTTGTGAATGTTCCATTTCTTTTTTACACTAATAATGTACCACTTTCATGTTTTGGATTGAATCATTTTAATCCTACAGGTGTATGTGTTTTGCAGAATTTTAGCACGCAAATGCATATTTTAGATTGGAGAGAGCACTGCAGTGGCTTGAGAGTAGAATTTGAATAACAATTAGAGCCTCCTTAGGAAAGAAGGTGAAACAGAAGAAGATGTGAAGGTTTTTCATATTTAAAATATTCAGCCTTTTTATGAAAAGGCGTCCTTTTTAAAGGAAACCCACACGATTATAGAAATAAAGATGAATTTGCATCACATTAACTTCTTTTGTTTGACAATATGTTGTCCCAGAAATAATTGCAATAAATGATCTCATGGTCATTTTAGGACAATGTTATGCCACGGACATACAAATAATATATTAGCATAAAAAGGCAAGAACAGGGTGTCAAACAGTATTAACCTTAATAAATTATCTAGAATATTCAGACTTCAGAATTGGAATGTGAAGGAAAATATTAAAATATCCTTAATAAATAAAATAATAACAAACCAAACAACTCAAATACAACGACTATCTTGCATTTAATACATACACCTTAAGGCAGGGGTGTCCAACTCAAATACACAGTGGGCAAAAATAAAATAAATCGGTACTAGTCGAGGGCCGGACTGGTTCAATGTTTATAGCAAAACTTATTGAAATTAACTTATTGCACATATTAAACCTGGGACTAACAAAGCTTAAATGATTGCCTATAAAAACAACTCTTATGATTACATTTTTCCACAGGCCAACAACAGCTTCAAAAAAACAATTTCCCTCAAAGAAAAAAACAAACATGCCCTGTTGTCACAAGAAAAAAAGTGCAGAAGGAAACATCCATTTAAACTCAGTGTGCTGCTCTGTGATGCTAGTTCAAGCCAGATACTTGGCATCTCATCTTGGGTGCAAGTTCATCAATGGATGAGGAAATCCTCAGGATTGAGTGAAGGTGTGCGTGCAATATACCGGCGGGCCAGATCTAATAGTAATTAGAAATGATCCTGCGGGCCGAAATTAAATCTACCACGGGCCGGATTTGGCCCCCGGGCCTTGAGTTTGACACATGTGCCTTAAGGTAATAAAGAGCCATTCATTCCTTAACAGGCAATGATCTGTCAGACCAGTTCCTCAATGGTTTGGACCTTTTAAGAAGCATAAAGTATCAACACACATGTAAACACAATGGACATACCCTATATCATACATCATTCGACAGTCCTGGTCAGTTGACATATTATATAATTACTTCGGTGGCTCTTGATTAGAAGTCCAATAATATTTGGAATTCTGCTTGAGACTGAAACTATTAGACAGAAAACCTTAAAGATGCTTCTGATTTGCACTATGGGAAATGTAGGACCCAGTGTATCTAAAGCTTGATTATTACTAGGTGACTACAAATCAGAACACCTTAGCCTCCACATTCTTTCTACTCTGTATTCACCAATCCAGTAACCTTGTGTAATCCTTAATGGTGTCCCTTTAATGCTTTGTCTTTCTGTTCCCTCCAGTTTTGGACCTGCCCTTGTACCAGGACTCACTTGACCCTGATGATAAGCCTCCTGTGCCCTCTCCCCTCCACCCTAGCCCCGCCCTCTCCAGCCCCAAAACCCGACGCCTGGAGGTCAGCGTGATCCCCCGGCCTCGCCCGTCCCCCATCCGCCCCCGCATCGACCCCTGGAGCTTCATCTCAGCCGGTGGCGGGACCTCTGGGGGCCGCAGCCCGCACCGCTCTGACAGCAACCCTCTGGGCTACCAGCCTTCCCCTACCAACCCCTTCACCAACTGTGACCCCTTCCCCTCACCGGACTGCGACCCCTTCGCCCTCAAGGCTGACCCCTCGAGCGGCTCGGACACGGCTTCTCCCTTCGACCCCTTCTCCACTCCCTTTCCCACCTCCCGTTCTGCCCCGTGCTCCACTAACGGTTCCCCCACGCTGCCAACCTTCCGCATAGCGCCCATCAACCCGGCCGACTCGCCCCTCATCAACCTGGGCTGGGCGGCCTGCAGCAGACCCCTGGATGTTACCAAAGAGAGGGCTCACCCCCGCAAGACACTGGGGCTCAAGCCCTTCAAGTCCCCAACGCAACTCAGAGACGATAGGTTCTAAACACGAGGCTAGGCCGGGGGTTTGTCGCAGGAACACAGTCTAGGACCATCTCACTACTATGTCCTCCATCTTAACAAACATTTGGAATCTTTAAGAAAAAACCCATCAATCAACCCACTGAGTGAGTTTTACCCCAGGGGAGCCACAATCATTGCAGGTCCTATTGATACGCCAGCCTGCTGCTTCGGAAGCCAGTGAAAGGCAGTGCTTTGTATTGTGGGAAAGCTGCCTTTGAACCAATAGCTGGTGCCCATTTCATTCTTCCTCTCTATCCGGGTTTCTCTCCCCTTTGAAGAAGCAGAACACAGATCACTAGTCCCATCTTCCGATCCTATCAGGCTGCTCATATCACCTGCTTTCATCTCCCGCCTACCTTTGAAGCATTGTGACAATGCAGAGGTGGATAAGGCGCCTTGCACAGCTTCATCTGCCTCTACCTCTCTGCAAACTGAAAGCATTCAGGACAATGGAAAATTGGAGTGCCTTATTTCGTGAAGTGTTTTTAGTATATATCTTTTCAAGATTTCTTATATGGTTAATCTGGTGCGTAGGGAAGATGCTTTACATTTGACTCAAATTTGCAAATCAGCTTGCTATTGCTGTGGAAGAAAATGTCGTCTACGTGTCTGTGTGTGCATGTCTAGGCTCATTGTTCGAGGAGAGCTTATGTTTAAAAAATAAACAACAGCATCTGCCTGTTGTATTATGGGAGAAAGTGTGAATATTCTAGGCCACTCGTGAAATCCAAGACAAATCCATGACCCAGACATTCCACTTGGAAGCAGATAAAATTCCAATGACGTTCCCCTTGAGATGCCAGGGATTTATTCGGCTGGCAGGCGACACAGGAAACGAGCCGGGGGAGCCCTCTGCATTCCCTTCACATGCCAAAGAATGCCACTGTGACAGTACGGGCTGGCACACAGAGTGTTTGCAAATACATTGTTTTTACCTCCATGGAGTGCCAGACGGGTGGGTTCTGCCACACTGGACAGTACAGAGAGAGTTGACAACACCATAAACACTTTTCATATCATCCAGTCTGTCTTTTCACTACCCGTCTGATGCTGTAGGAAGGTTCAACCAAATACATTCAAGTATTTGCAAATATTACAAAATGTATGGAAGCTTCATTTAAAGGTAGGGTAGGTAAGTTTGAGAAACCGGCTCGAGATCGCTAGAATTTGAAAATACACAACCGGAGAAAATCTGCCACTTCCTTACAGAGCCCCTCCTCCAACACACACGAACGCGCACATGACCAATGAGGGCACGAGATAAGTTTGTGCACAGATGGAAGGCTGACAGGCAGGTAGGCCATCCAGTTATTTTAGTCGGGCCGGCTAAAATGATTGGTCGTGCTTTTTACAGTACTACGGCTTCCTCAGATGACATTTTTGTATGGATATTGTGTCAAAGCACTTAAGATATTCATTGCTATCGGGATGTTAAGAGCATTCCATGGAATATAACAAAAAGTGTATCTCGAGCCGGTTTCTCAAACCTACCTTTAACATTTTATTTATTTGTACAGTCCAGCAGAGTAGTGGTAGCTTTGCAAAGCCAGCCTACAATTTGGCAGTATTTTTCACTACATAATTGACATTTCTCCCCTTTACCCTATTAGAGGAAGTTGGAAAACCATTGTTGTTATGGAAGTGTTAAATATATCCTGATGTGATAAAAATCATGCTGCTTTTTCAACAACTTAATTGTGAAGAAATACGTTGCCCTTTTGTGAGTGAAAGGAAAGGTGATGCCACTCTTTTATCACTCCGTTTCATTTGAAGCTTAAGCTAGCATCTGGTTAGCTTAGCATAAAGGCTGGAAGCAAGGGGAAACAGCTAGCGTGGTTTCATTTATACTACATCATTTCTTGTTTGTTTAATAGCAGTGGCTTTCTGGTGTTTTGTCATCACTCAGGTGGCCAGTGAACTACCAAGAGAAGAAAGCTAGTAGATAAAGTTAGCTTTGAACGGAGCAGTGTTAGCTGTTTCCCCCTGTTTACAGCATTTTTGCTAAGCAATCTGTCTAAGCGTCAAACGTACGCTCATTATTCACATGGCTAGTCAGGCTTTATCAAATCTCAGCACATGTATATCAGATTTGCTGCCTTTGGTGGGAGATGTAGGCTGACTTTGCAAGGCTAATGTAGCAGGGCTGCTAAACCCTGGTCCCTCACAGTTTGTTTGTGTTAAAAGTCCGACTTCAACCATTTTAACAATGCTAAACCGATCTGGTAGGATCCTGTGAATAACAGTGATGGCATGTTGAGATACTTCTACATCATAGAAGTTCAACATTGAGCAATAATACAGGAAGAAATCCATTGTAGAGATGCTAAAATATCAATTATTCCAGAGCAGCAACTTGCCCTTTAACTTTATTTCACAATCATTATCATCAATGATCGAATTACATACTTCATGGTCAGGCATTTTCTCCAGGGGTTTGCAGCAACAAATGCTTTACAAAATAAGCCCTTGAATGGCTTGGATATCACAGATAGAATCCAATTATTATGATCCACCAAATGTTAATGGCAGTCAAACTAGTTCTCAAGCATGCAGGCAACTGAAAGAGACCCACTAAGCGCAAACTCGTCCTGTTCCCATCGCAGGAGCATTACGAGGTACAAATACTGATTGGCTTCATCACTGACACCGTGTCATTGGAGGACAATACAAGCTTTGTTCCGACGAAGAGTGAAAACCTTGTCTCCAAAGGGGGAAAGCCTGATTAGCCTAATAATCCGTCTGACGAACAGAGGAGGCTGATAGCGACAATTAGCCTCTTGATAAGAGTGGAGAGCATTAACAAAGCGTTCAGATATTTGGTTAATTAATTTCCCCCAACGTTAGGAAAAAGCCTCCTCGCAAGGTATATAGAGTTGATCACTGCATCAGCTTACGTCTCGATTTAAGCCGTGCCCTTTTTTTATGCATAAAGTTTCAAAGACGCGGCGAGCTATCTTTCCCTTTTCTTTTATTCTTTTATTCTCTTTTGCCGCTGCTGACCAGATGAAATCTTCACAATCGAAGCTCACCTTCTTCCACGTCCTTTGCTTTCAGGTCATGTGGGGAGGTTTTCTTTCTTCTCCTTCTTACTCCTACTTATAATTTCTCCTCTGGAAAGTTTTCTCAAGGTCAGTTTTGTCCTGACTCAGCTACAGCCAGGTTTCCATCCGGGGAAAAATAAATGGCATTTGTTCTAGAACAGAGTCCATTAGTGGAGTAGTGCTCATTTTACAGAGTCAATTGCATTTCTTTGAAATTGAAACAGGAGCTTTATTGAATATTTCTATTGAACTTTAGTGTGTCTGTTCATCAACCGCTGGACATCAAAGCAATATTAAAAGTAACAAAGAGACACAGTGCTTTTAAAGGTCTCAGTATGCTTCAACTTGATGGTGTTGCCCAACCATATCGAAGGGCTAAAGTGTTAGCTGTACAAATGGCCACAGTTGAAGGTGGGCTGAAGAGCCTTTGTCCTATACTTGTAGTGTTGCAATTGACAGTAGTTGGGTCAAAAAGGACATAAAGAGAGCTTAAACACCGCCTACTTTCCCACCGCCACAAACTAAGTGTACATTTGGATAGACCTGATTGACATTATGTCTCCTTTACAAACTAGGAAAACCATTGTGGTTGTTTCTATAAGTGTCCTGAAATTAGTATAAACGTCATGCTACATTGCACCCATTTAAAGGATTATTTTGACATTTAGGGGAACAAGTATTTACTGTGTTGTCGATGGAAAGAAAACCACTTTTGTATAGTCCATACAATTTGAAGCTAAAGCTAACAGCCAGTTAGCTTAGCATTAGGACTGAAAGCTGCTAGCCCTGGTTCTGTTAAAAGGTAAAAGGATCTGCCTTCCTGCTCTTGCAAAGTTCCATTAGTGACTTCCTGGAGTTTTTCACTGTTAGGTGGCCAAGCAACCATTGAACTCTCAGAGAAGAGAAGATTTTGTTACCTTTGGACGGAGCCAGGCTAGCCTCTTGAGATTTTGCTAAGCTAAGCCAACTTTCTAAACATGGGTGAAGGCTATTATGCATACAAAAATGTTCTAGGTGATGTTAGACAAACTGACAAGCACTTCATTTAAGCTTCACCACTGAATTCTTTGTTTTTAATGTCTGATTTGCACAGGATAAACATGGCAAAACTTAAGGTTGACTATCTTATGTTGGCAGAAAGTGGCACCTGATAGATTAGTAAAAGCTGCAGGTTTGATATAGAATTGGTCTCTCTCAGCAGTATTCCCTACCTTCTTCCTGATCCTGTCCTCGCCACAAACATTTTGCAGATGTGACAAGTGATGAATTATTGCCTCGTCTCTCGGTGTCAAAACAAAAGCCACGAGAGCCATCCTGCGAAAGTCATTAGTCTAGGATGGCTGTTATTGTCAACAGAGCTCTGTGAGGAGAAATGATACATGAAGGAAATTGAGATGATTGAAACGTCTGGCAGATTATTTCTGTCAAAAATTCCGTGTGTGTGTCAAGCATCCACTTCAACCTGCCACTCATGACTTTTATGAACGTTCCCTCAGCGCCAGACTTTAATTTTCCCTCAGACGTGAAGTTGAAAAGTGTTGCCTGTCGTTTTCACTCGAGCTTTCGCACGCTGAGTAGTCGACTTCAATAGCAGTCATTGTGCTTTTCCCATATGGTTAAGTTATTGTAAATACTTGGAGTCGGTTTCCTCCTTTGAGTGGTGAGACACCGTTCTTCTGCGACATGACCTTTGCGTAGAAATATGCTGCATTACATAAAATGCTATTTTTAACATCCAAATCCTCGCCTCTTTAAGTGTAATCTGAATCTGACAAAACTAATTTAGTAGTCGGGCGATTGAAGACATTTGAAAGAAGCCTTTTTGTGGACAGGGGTGTCCGATATTTGGTTTTGCCTGTCAGATTTAGGAACCGTAGCTGCCACTCCTCTTCCCCAACTGACAGCCTGCTCTCCAATAAGCGTGCACTGATGAGTTGTTTGTGACGCTCAGCTCTTCCAGGCATCGCCCCATCCGTCATTTCAAATCAGCCTCCAGTGTACAAACTGACAGGGAGAAGAGGAGTGCATTCTCTGCATGGAGATATCCGGCCACCGGTGTTACGCTTTCCGCCCCGCTGTGGCAGGCAGCAGACATGATTTGATGATCTTAATTCAAAGTTCAAGCTCAGACCATTGCCCTTAATCAGCCAGTGGCAAATGGTCAATACGTTACATGAATAAAAGCTAATGAGAAAACACAATGGGGGAACCCGAGGCTCTGACCCTCATCCCGCCGAGAGGCTTCTTGTAATATGCCTTTGTGTTAGAGAATTTCAGAGGTGAAAAATCAGAGCTATTATCCAGAAGGGGAAAAAAACATGTTGCCAGCTAGCTACTTTCTGGCTTTGTTAACATTGGAAAGCGTTGCCTAATGCAACCATCCATTCCATCAGGATAACACTCACTTAAAGCTTAATTTGGCTTTTTCATCAGTGGATATGTTTATATGCATACTAATTGTTTCATTTAGCCACTGATTCAAATTGAATCCCTATACTAGATTGGACCCTTGAATTGAATTATCCTGATAACTGAGAGTAACAGAGCGCAGCGTGCATACAAACATACCCATCTGTAGTGTTGGACTTTAAAGAAGTTGAGTCAGTAGGGGACTGTATTTCTTAAATTGCTCCAGCTCCTGTTAAATCATGCTTTCACGGTTACAGAGAAAATTGGAGGATGAAGGGAAGATCTCTGGGTGAACACGTGTCGCATTTATTTTATTGATGAAATCTTACCTTGGCGGGTCAGTGA